AACAAAATAAAATAAAATAAAATAAATGTACATGATGTGTACATGCAACATGCAACGACCAAACATTAAAAAATTTGTACAAATCAGCCAAATAAGGTGTGAATTTGAACCATATTTGTATTCTTAAATTTTTCAAAAATGTATTTTATAAATGTACATGTACACGTACATGTACATTTATAATACAATGTACGCATGCAAATTTATTAATATTATTAACTTACCGAAATCTTCATCATTCTCATCATCTCCTTCCTCCTCCTCCTCCTCCTCCTCTCCCTGTTCCTCCTGTCCCTCTTCTCCCTGCTCCTGCTCCTCAGGATTCACCACATACTCTCCCTGAACTGCACCAGATGAACTCACAGTAGACACAGGAGACACTGACTGGCTTTTATCATCTCCTTCTTCCTCCTCCTCCTCCTCCTCTTCTTTCTTTCTCTTTGCTTCTGTTATGTTGGAGGAGAGAGAGTCTTGAAGGCGCTGGGAGAGTTGTTTGGCTTTCTCTGATAGATCTGGTTTGATGAAGGAGAATGAGTCATTGTTGGTTAGTTCAGTTTGACTCCCTTCACGACTACTGGAGGTATCCAGTAATGATAGTAACTAGAGGAAGAGAAAGAGAATATAAACAATTGTACATGTACATTGTGTACTTTACACTGCACATATAAAACACACAATTCCACATAAAGTACATGTATACATGTACATGTACATGCACATACATGTATGTGCATGCACATACATGTATGCGGCAGCTAAAAGTTTGGAGCATAAAATTTGGCAAGTTCCTTTCTTTAAAATGAAAATTCTCAACTACAAAAATTGTCAAATTTTGATTACCAGACATTAGAATCAAATAGTGGTTTCCCATAAAATTTTGGTATGATGCTCAGCTTCTTATTAGCTCATGAGGTGTTTTGTTTAGTTTGTTCAGTAGAGCTTTGCAGAAAACACTGATCCATGGTACATGTACGCTGTACATGTATTTTGTCAAAAATGGCTAGGAGAGAATTCTCTACTTTTATAATTTTTTTCTGATACATATCCATGTTCTGATGTTCCATATCAAGTTTGAGCTAATTCTGATCAAAACTGGATTTTTTTATGAATTTTTAAATTTGCTCAAAAATCTGGTCTGAGACTGGGTACTATAGTACAATAGACCAAATTTCGTCAAAAACAGCTAGGAGAAAGTTTTCCATTTTTATATTTTTTCCTGATACATATCCATGTTCTAATGTTCCATATCAAGTTTGAGCTGATTCCGATCAAAACTGAATTTTTTATGAATTTTAAAAGTTGCTCAAAAATCTGGTCCGAGACCGTGTACTATTAGTAACGCGGTAGCGTTACTAAGTAGGATTCACCCCCAAACAAAATGGCTGCCACGACTTTTGCAGCCTTGCTATACCGGGAAAACGAGCTCCTATGCTTACCAGACTTTATAGAGGACCTTATCTTGACCAGAGGACTCCAATGGTACAACTAGCGTGGCTCTAGACCTTGTCTAAGCGAAAAGTCAAAAATCGGCGAACCGGCCGTTTTGTTCAGCCACCTTTTTTCATCTTCATCATCATCTTCATCAAGTCCTGTCAATCAAGTTGTCGGTGTGTATCTCAGTATCAGTTGGTGCTACAAGGATAATTCTTACACCAATCTACTCCAACAGTCTATGCGCAGGTCCATGTCCCATCAGATCATTCTTCAAGTAAGGAAAAAGTGATACTGTGACTGCTGGATCGAGCCATCTCAGCTGCATGCCGCCATTTTGTTAATTAAAGAATCTTGCCATGTGCTCCAAAATTTGGGTGTGGTCGCGCATGCTCAGATCTGCAGATCTGCAGCTCTGGAAGAAGCAAGTTATTTTTTTACCAAGCTATGCTTGGAATCAACTTACTGAATACTTTAGTGGAAGTTTCCAGCTAAAAGAAGGTATTGATTATACATGTTACTGTTTTATCAAATGTGTTATTTTATTTTATTTTAAAAACAAACAATTAATTAATGTTATGACTTATGATATGCAATGATAATTATGAACTTGACAACAGCCAGC